TAGGGTGTTCTAACTTGTTGCTAAGCAGTTGCTAGGGTGTTCTGAGTGATTATTCTAACAACCATATAGCAACAGGTGTTGTTACATGGTTGCTAAGGTGTATTATTTGGTTAACACACTGCTAAGCAGTTGCTAGGGTGTTCCGACTGATTGCCAAGGCAATGATTGGCCAAATTTGCTGCTATGTGGTTGTTAGGGTGTTCTAACTTGTTGCTAAGCAGTTGCTAGGGTGTTCCGACTGCCAAGGTAGTGATTGCCAAATTTGCTGCTATGTGGTTGCTAGGCTGTTCTAGCTTGTTGCTAAGCAGCTGCTAGGGTGTTCTAGCTTGTTGTTAAGCAGCTGCTACGGTGTTCCGACTGCCAAGATAGTGATTGCCAAATTTGCTGCTATGTGGCTGCTAGGGTGTTCTAGCTTGTTGCTAAGCAGTTGCTAGGGTGTTCCGACTGCCAAGGTAGTGATTGCCAAATTTGCTGCTATGTGGCTGCTAGGGTGTTCTAGCTTGTTGCTAAGCAGTTGCTAGGGTGTTCTAGCTTGTTGCTAAGCAGTTGCTAGGGTGTTCTAGCTTGTTGCTAAGCAGTTGCTAGGGTGTTCTAGCTTGTTGCTAAGCAGTTGCTAGGGTGTTCTAGCTTGTTGCTAAGCAGTTGCTAGGGTGTTCTAGCTTGTTGCTAAGCAGTTGCTAGGGTGTTCTAGCTTGTTGCTAAGCAGTTGCTAGGGTGTTCTAGCTTGTTGCTAAGCAGTTGCTAGGGTGTTCCGACTGCCAAGGTAGTGATTGCCAAATTTGCTGCTATGTGGTTGCTAGGCTGTTCTAGCTTGTTGCTAAGCAGCTGCTAGGGTGTTCTAGCTTGTTGTTAAGCAGCTGCTACGGTGTTCCGACTGCCAAGATAGTGATTGCCAAATTTGCTGCTATGTGGCTGCTAGGGTGTTCTAGCTTGTTGCTAAGCAGTTGCTAGGGTGTTCTAGCTTGTTACTAAGCAGTTGCTAGGGTGTTCTGGGTGGTTATCTTAACAACCATATAGCAACAGGTGTTGCTACATGGTTGCTAAGGTGTATTATTTGGTTAACTGTTATACAGTTGCTAGGGTGTTCTGAGTGATTGCCAAGGTGTTGTTATGTGGGTTGCTAAAGTGTGCTAATTTGTTGCTATGTGCTTGCTAGGGTGTTCTAACTGGTTGTTAAGCAGTTACTAGGGTGTTCTGGGTGATTGCCAAGATGTTGCTATGTGGTTGCTAAGGTGTTCTAATATGCTGCTATGTTCAATTCAATTCAAGTTTATTTGTATAGCGCTTTTCACTATACAAATCGCTTTACAGAAAATTAAGTTTCTACAATATTTAGTGATTGCCAGGGTGTTGCTAGGGTGTTCTGGGTGATTATCCTAACAATGGGTGTTGTCATGTGATCTAAATGGTTGTTAACATAGTTGCTATGCAGTTGCTAGGGTGTTCCGAGTGATTGCCAAGGCACTGCTATGTGGTTGTTAAAGTGTTCTAACTGGTTGATAAGCAGTTGCTAGGGTGTTGTGGGTGGTTTTTAAGTAGTGATCGACCGATATTGATATTTTATAGCCGATACGATACCAATTATTTGCATGTTTATGTGCCCGATAACCGATATTCAGAACCGATATTTATTTACTGTTATAAAGTAAGAACATACTTCACTTTGGTTTTTCCTCCTTTGCAGTCTTAAAAAAAGTGTTGAAAATTAGCAGTCTTTCATGTTAAATTTAATCTTCACATTACAACAATAAAAAAACATTTTATTTAAAGCATCAGCAGCAACACTAACATTAACAATAAGCAAAATAAATGAAGAAGGTCTAATGTTTTCAAATGGAGAAAATAAATAAAGGACAGGAGTCATATCAACTTAATTTTAAACTACAGTTTTAGTAGGTTTATAAGCGGTGTAATAGGCTAAAGATTGAAGAATAATTCACTGGATAATGTTAATTCACTGAATAATATTCTCTGGAATATTGAAATATAACAAACAAAACATCGTATTTTATTGCATTTCTCAACTGGCATGTTATATCAGAATTACTAATAATGGTTTTATCGTTCTAGATTATGAAATGCCTGCTGACAGTGCGGTTTATCTGTGCATTTACACAGAACTATACTCAAACTGCGATCGCTCGTGCAGATAATAGTTTATTTAGATGTTTATTAGCGAAATAATGGTTATATAGTAAATGTTAATACAATTTAGGGTGTTAGGGTTCTTGAGCATTTCCTGAGCAACAACCCGGTGAGTGAACAGCGATATGAAAGCGGCTTCACGAGACTAATGATGAGCATAGACAACAGACAGAGAATTAAATTT